GCTCATGGCAACAACCAGCAGTGAGACAACAAAGCTGATCATTGGGACTCATTGCAGAATCAGTCTGTAGGGACAAATCCTGGGCTTGATGATTTTTAATAGTGCCTCAAGTCACATGACCAGKTTTGAGAAACACTCCTGGACCAAAACCGAAATGCATAGAAAGCACTGGGCACAGACTGGGGCCAGTTAGCAAAAGTGAGGCCAGGCTGCTGATGGCAGTTGTGCCCAGGGACACCTTCTCCCAAAGCACCAATGAGCACAGAAAGAAAGGCCACTCACAGGGTCTCTTGGGTCTTATGGCTTCCAAAACTTGGGACAGACCAAGGAATGCACTGCCCGACTCAGGATGTCAGACTCCTCCCTGGTACCACCTATGCACTCCAGTCTCTGAATGGTGCCATGGTCCACAATGCCACCTCTGTCTCCAGATGGCAAGACCCAGCCAATGCAAGTAATGAATCTCATTTTGGTTGAGCCATAACCAGATGTCTAGGTGCAGCCTAAGAACCACCAGCCTGCCCCAGCCACTGAGGAGGTTATGTACACAGCCTGAACCCTGCACATGCCCAGGTATTCCTGGGAGTGATGTGTACAGTGGGACAGGGTGCCAGTCACTCAGTGATTCTGACAACTGTGTCCTCTCTCTCTGCAGCAGCCTCACCCCAGGCAAAAGAGCTGCTGCCATCACACTAATCATCCAAAAAACTCCCAGCAAATTCTGCTTTCACTGTCCTGTTGCCACGTCCAAATCTCCACAACTGCTTTGTCTCAGGGACTATTTTGACCCAAGTGGGTTTCAGCTGCTCTCTCCAAAACTCTTATTGAATCCACAACTTCTTCTCCAAAAAAATGCCCGAACCTTGGTCTTCTCCTCTGTCTCCCCATCTCCTCTGTTTCCAGGCTTTCTTCTGGGAATCCCAGCTGCGGTCTGAAAACCTGAGCACTACTTCTCTGCCCTGAGTGAGGGAATCCAGGTTTTCATTGTGTCACAGCAGGAATTTATGCTCATAAAACTGATTTTAGGTGCTGTGTGAGAGGAGGGTGTGTTCATCTGCCTGACTATGGTAACCACTGCATTAGGAATAGCAAAGCATTGTACTTCACCCCTTAAGTGCACACAATAAAGAAAATGAAAATAAACTCTGGATTTTATTTTGGATCTTGATATTTGCTCAGCACACCAGCACTTTTTCCATTTATTTCCAAACAGCCCTTATGTAGCCAGTCAGACCTGGTTTTTTGAGAGAGAATTTTAATATTTATTACAGTTTTCGGCAGACATGACATCTTTTTTTGTGTGTGTGGTTCGGAGGATCAAACCCGGGCCGGATGCATGCCAGGTGAACGCACTACCGCTTGAGCCACATCCCCAGCCCAGACTTGTTGGATTTATGTCAAAAGCTAAAATTCTATGTCCTAGATTTATCTTGATGATTTCTAAAACTATAAAGCACAGTATTTCAAGATAATGCAAATTCTGGGAAGACTGTGCTGGGCAGAAAATAGTCACTAAATTCATATTAGTGACTTCTCTTAAATGATTGCATTATCTTTGGGCTCAAGATATTCAAGAAGAAAGTGGATTTGTTTTATGCTAGATCARTTAAGAACTGATATAATTAGAATGTAAAGATATTTTRACTGKGGGTTCAGTTGTTTCAAGTATGACAGCTTGCCCAGGAAAACAATGCAGGAGATTTTGTCCTCCACTTGACCCAAATTGTATGGAAAAAAATATTATCTTTTAAATTAAAAGTGGAACCCACAGGCAATCTAAAGCAGGTATTGAAAGGTCACGATAAGACAAACTGCAGTTGTTTTTCTCCTGTTTTCTTTTTTTATAATTGATTGCTGTGGAATTTGATTTGAATGTTTGAAATATAAAAACTATATTTAAAAATAAACATAAAATATTCTTTTGCATTATAAGGCTCAGAGCCTGAGGTCATAATACACAGTATAATTAGCTCATATTTTTGTAATGCGATCCCAAGACAAAGCAGTTGGGATACATTTTTCATCAAAAAATATTTTTACTAAGTAAAACTATGTTGTTCGATGTATCATACTTTTCTCTGCAGTATATGTTTGCCCTTAAAATTAATAGAAGTGAATACTTTGACGGGGCTGCCAAAAGGTTTATATTATCTTGTCCTGGTGAATACTGTAGCAGAATATATGGAGGATGAACCAAAAGATTTCTGAAATTGTGTATTGTTGTGGCTGGAAACTATTGAAAGGTACATCATTGTTGTTACTAAAAAAGACTGACTAAAAACAGCAATGTTTCTTAAGCTGTACATAAGTGAACAAATTCTTTGTTATGCAAAAATGCCCTGTGCATCCAGAGATGGCTGAAATACATTCTACAGATTCTGGAAATCTCAGTTCTATTTTTTACCTCTAACTAGTAAGTTTTTCTAGCTCAATAGGTCTCTATTTTTTTCTTGCTTTTAAAACCAGAGGAGCAATACTTTTCTTTTTTAAATTTCTGGATTGTTTCTCAATTTGACTGAAATAAAACATGCAGAAATCTTTTGGAACATATTACAAAGCATACAAATGGAAGTGAATAATCTTTGCTAACATTGATTCTTTTTCTTTCAAATGCTGTTCTAGCTCAAAGTGGGTAATTTTTCTTCCTTCAATTACCTCTGATTATATGAGAATTTTCCCCCTAGCATTTAGAAGCCACACTTCATCAACTATTTGGTCTCTTGCTTAAGCCTTTACAAGGTTTATTTGTATATTGTTGTGCTTTGATCCAATTGATTTTTCTTCTTTAGTGTAATTTGATGTATAATTAAATTGGTATAAATATGTCTGTATTGGAGAGTGTACAATGTCTCAAGGCATTGTTCTTAGCCATATATTGTTTTAAACTCAGTTCTTCATGATTTATATGTAATATTAATAATATTGTGAATGATATTCAATATGATTTTTGTATGGACTCAATGCATAAAAAGCCTTTGCCCTATTGTAGCTCGTAAGCCAACATTTAATAATAAGAAACTTAATCTTTACATACAATCTTCTCAGTTTACCTCTTACCACTTGGTTTACAGAAAATAAGACTATGAAACATAGCTCATTGATTATTTTGTCATAAGTAGGCCTCACTCAACCTTGAATCCAGATCCATTTCTGTGATTCCTGCCCTAAAATAACACTGCCTATAGAATAACAGTGATGTCAAAATTAACTAATGTATATAAAAACACTGATCATTTACCTCATTCACATAAAAATGAAATGTTTCCAATGAGGCTGGAGTCTAGAAGGCCATTATGCACACACAAGAAAGATAAAGCTCTTCTCTCCTGAAAAGCTACCTTTAAGGATGTGGAAATTCAGTCTATTCAAATCATTATGAAATGTTAAAATGTTAAAAAGTCAAAATTTGTAAATCAAGATGTGAAAATCTGGGGCTTATTTTCATATATATATATCCTTCCTATAACTCGTAATTTCACCATGAAAATAAACAGAAAATACATTACAATGATCTGATAATGCAAATTATATTCCACATTAAGTTTGATTAAAATGTGTAAAAGTATTAAGAGATGCTAGAGTATTATTTACTCAATAGTATGTTTTACTGTTGCATAAAAAAATTAATCAAGTGGAATACTGTGATGTCTGTCATTTAATGACATGATGCAATACATGAGTGTTAACATATACAGAAATATTCAGTTATAAAGACATATTGCATACATAAATAGGTAAAAATGCTCTGTCAACCTGGCATGATGGTCCATGCTTGTAATCCAAGCAAATTGGGAAGCTGAGTAGTTTCAGAAGTTTAAATTCAGCCTCAGCAACTTAGTGTGGTTTCACACAACTTGGCAAGACCAGTCTCAAAATTTGAGAAAGTGGAGAAAGGACATAGGAATGTTGCACAGTGTTTAAAAATCCTAAATTTAAACTGCAATACAAAAAAAAAAAAGATTAAAATATTACAATTCAGTGTTACACATCAAAAAATATATTTCTTATAATTGTTTTCTCTGGTATTCAAAAGTGGAAATAGTAATATTTGATTTAGAAAAAATATATATATGCTTTCAAAGATGAGGTTTCTGCACTATACATGTATGATATTTATGACTGATATTTCTACCAAATAACTTGATAATGCTTAATAAATTTAATTAAAAGTTAAAAACAAGTACTTATATTCTATATTTAAATGAGTTGTGTCTTTCACTTGTCTTCATATACATCAAGGTGTAATGTATAGATAATGACTTCACTATACTCTCACATTTGTCAAGGTGTTTATTATAAATGTTTCATTGTTATATAAGGCATACATTTTGGACAAAATCTGTTCAATGTTCACTACTGGTATGATTTTTCAGATGTTCAATGAATTTAAAATTTGAATACGTTTTTGAAATATTATTTAACTTTTTAGGATTTCTGGGCACAATGTATTCTCCAAAAATCACTAGTGTTTAAGAAACATGTGGTTATGAAATGTTTTTTTTTTCCATTTGTATTCTCTCTAACCAGAATGTATTCATAGGTGCTGAGTATTGGTGAATAAATTTTGAAGGCACTGTCACATTGTCAATTTTCACATTTCAAAACTTTCTCTTTGCTATGGTTATTGTGGTGAGGATTAAATTTTGACCCTTTCTTAGAGGAATTGTTCAATGGTGGCATTTATAAAGCTTCTCTCCAGTGTGTTTTCTATGATGTCTAGTAATGTATGATATAGAATTTAAAATGTTTCTACATTCTCTACATTTGTGTGTCTTCTTTCCAGAATAAATAGCATGGTGGTGAAAAATAATTGATTTTTTATTAAAAGCTTTGCTGCATTGTTTCCATTTGTAGGGGTTCTTTCTGTATAAATTCTGTTGTTAATAAGGTTTAGTTTCTCTTTAAAAGTATTATCACTTTATTCACATTTCACATTCATCAGGGTGTATTTTATTTAATTTCTTATTAAAAGTTTTGCCACATTATTCACATTTGTAGGACTATTCTCCAGTGTAAGTTCTTCTCTGGTGGATAAGGCTTATTTTATTGCTAAAAGCTTTGTCACTTTCCTTACATTTGTAGGTCTTTTCTTGAGTGTGAATTCTCCTGTGGCAAATAAGAGTTGATATTTGAGTAAAGCACTGTCACATACTTTGCATTTGTGAGGCTTCTCTCCAGTGTGATTTCTTCTGTGGCAAATAAGGTGTGATTTTTGACAGAAAGCTTAGCCACTTTCTTTACATTTATGGGGCTTCTCTCCAGTGTGAGTTTTTCTGTGGCAAATAAGGTTTGATATTTGACTGAAAGCTTTGCCACATTCTTTACATTTGTAGGGCTTCTCTCCAGTGTGAGTTCTACTGTGGCAAATAAGGTGTGATTTTTGACTGAAAGCTTTGCCACATTCTTTACATTTATAGGGCTTCTCTCCAGTGTGAGTTCTAATGTGGCAAATAAGGTGTGATTTTCGAGTAAAAGCTTTGCCACATTCTTTACATTTGTAGGGCTTCATTCCAGTGTGAGTTTTGCTGTGGCAAACAAGGTGTGATTTTCGAAAGAAAGCTTTACTACAATTTTTGCATTTGTAGGGCTTGTCTCCAGTGTGAGTTCTACTGTGACAAATAAGGTCTGATTTTTGAATGAAAGCTTTGCCACATTCTTTACATTTGTAGGGCTTCTCTCCAGTGTGAGATCTGATGTGGTAAATAAGTCCTACTTTTTGACTGAAGGCTTTGCCACATTCTTTACATTTGTAGGGCTTCTCTCCAGTGTGCGTTCTGCTGTGGCAAATAAGGTGTGATTTTTGACTGAAAGCTTTGCTACAATTTTTACATTTGTAGGGCTTCTCTCCAGTGTGCGTTCTCCTGTGGCAAATAAGGTCTGCTTTTTGACTGAAGGCTTTGCCACATTCTTTACATTTGTAGGGCTTCTCTCCAGTGTGTGTTCTGCTGTGGCAACTAAGATGTGATTTTCGACTGAAAGCTTTACTACAATTTTTGCATTTGTAGGGCTTGTCTCCAGTGTGAGTTCTTCTGTGGTAAATAAGGTCTGATTTTTGAATGAAAGCTTTTCCACATTCTTTACATTTGTAGGGCTTCTCTCCAGTGTGAGATCTGGTGTGGCGAATAAGGCATGTTTTTTGATTGAAAGCTTTGCCACATTCTTTACATTTGTAGGGCTTCTCTCCAGTATGAGTTCTCCTGTGGCAACTAAGGTGTGATTTTCGACTGAAAGCTTTGCTACAATTTTTACATTTGTAGGGCTTCTCTCCAGTGTGACTTCTGCTATGGCAAATAAGGTCAACTTTTTGACTGAAGGCTTTGCCACATTCTTTACATTTGTAGGGCTTCTCTCCAGTGTGAGTTTTGCTGTGGCAACTAAGGTGTGATTTTCGACTGAAAGCTTTGCTACAATTTTTACATTTGTAGGGCTTTTCTCCAGTGTGAGTTCTTCTGTGGCAAATGAGACCAACTTTTCGACTGAAGGCTTTGCCACATTCTTTACATTTGTAGGGCTTCTCTCCAGTGTGAATTCTTCTGTGACAAATAAGGGTTGATATTTGATTAAAAACTTTGTCACATACTATGCATTTGTGAGGCTTCTCACCAGTATGAGTTTTGCTGTGGCAAATAAGTTGTGACTTTTGACTGAAAGCTTTACCACATTCTTTACATTTGTAGGGCTTTTCTTCAGTGTCAATTCTTCTTTGGTAAATAAGGTTTAAGTTTTTACTAAAAGCTTTATCATATTTGTCACATGTGTAGGGCTTCTCTTCAGTGTGAATTCTGCTTTGCTTAATAAAGTTTAATTTTTCTTTAAAAACTTTATCACATTCTGCCCATTGGTAGGGCATCTGTCCAGTGTGGGTTACTCTGTGGTTAATAAGACCATTTATTTTACTAAAAGCTTTGCCACGTTGTTTATATCTGTAGGGCTTCTCTCCAGTATAAATTCTCTGGTGGTGAACAAGGCCTAATTTTGTATTATATGATTCCTGGTGTTCACTCTCACTTGTGGTTTTCCATATTTTCTTTTGTTGTAAATAGTCAAAACCACAACTTCTATATTTCCCATTTATCACTTTGGGAAATAAATGTTTTATGCCCTTTTCTGGTGAATATTCTTGGGTATCATATGGAGTCATGGCTGAAATAAACAAAAAAATTTAAAAAAATTCCTTCTAGACTGGGATAAATATATTTTGCATACATAACATCAAATTAAGGTAAAATAACTACATTAGGAGTGTAGCAGATCAGTAAATCCAAAGTCATCATAATTCCAAAAATATATCAGTTGAATAAAAATGTACAGACAAAATTATCTTGAGAATATTACTCAAATTCTTGTAGGGACCAAAGTATCCAAGAGGAGTAAATTATTAAGAAGAGTAATATAATAAACAGAAGAAAAGTGTGACACTTTTATCATCCACAGCCTTTTGTCCTCCATAAGATATCATTGTGTATTTAGGAAATATCTATCAGCTACCTTCACTCTCATTAAAATAAAAGAAATGTAAAACATCTACAAACACTTGTGGCTTTTTCAAAGAGCATCCAAAAACTAGTTTTTATCTACCATGATAAAGAGAGATGAAAATATCTAGAATATTTTGAGCGATAATACCACAAATATTCAACAAGGGTAAAGAGGCTATGGACTCTTAAAAAGAAATATGAACAAAAAATTTACTAAGAAATATACACATATGTCTATAAAATTTTCCATAAAAACATTTAAAAAGACTATAAAAACCTTTCAGAGCCTATGGCCCTAATACTTGGATGAAGTCAACACATGACAATCAAGTGTAATAAATTGATTTTTATATTTTTAAATTGGTGTGATATGATGATTTCTTTCATTGACAAATACAACTTTATTTACTAAATATATTATGGTATTTTATACTGTATATACAAGGTACAATGAGTAAATACAAGGAATTAACACAATCATTATTTTATATAATTGTCAGTTTTCTCTAACAAGTATTGTATTCCTTCTACTAGTATTTATGAAGAATATAATACACTCACCATGTGGTAAAACAAAAATCTTGACCCTCTTATGCTCAGTAAAATAAAAACATGGACTTTGACTATAATATAAACCCTACAAAAAACACAGTACCTGCTGAGCAGAATTTTACTCACTAAATATCTGACTGTCACATGTGAATCAAATGCTCCTACAACTTAATCTCTGCCTGCCACATTTGACTTAATGCAAAGTCCTGCATATATTTTTATAACACTTTAAGAGACAAAATATTTTATAACTAAATAATAATAGTATATAAGTACAATATTACTACACATTTGATCATTGATAGGCACATATATTGAGACTCTAGCTTTAAAACTGAGAACTATGTTGCACTAAAAACAAAAGCAGAGGTATCTCTTCAATTTTCTGATTTAACTGTTCATATTTAGTACTGACATTTCTGAGTCTTTAGGTCATCCAACTTTTAATTTTTTATCTGTAGTGCTTGAGATTAGCCCTAAAAATTCTACATCAATGAATAACAAAACAAGTCTTTTTAGAATTGTTCGAGTCATGCTGTTTCTAAATATCTGTCACTTCCCAACTAGCAAATATTACAAGGATGCAGCACTGTTCTTGCCTACTTTTATTTATTTAAAAGATTTTATACTTTTTTCACAAAATGGACTACATAATCTACTGTTGTCTCCTTTAATGAACAAATAAAAAATAGTACAACAAACATAAACAAAGAGAAACATGGCTTAATCCAAGTGACAAAAAAAAAGATAAAAAAAAACATTAAGAATTGAACATCAGGATACTAACCGTTATGAATTACTCAAAGAACACTAAATAACTATTTAAATAATGCTTAAAGTGTAAAATTGAGACAAAAAATATAAATATAAATAAGCACAAATTGTGTATGTGAATAATTCCTTAAGAAAAAAATGAGAGGGGCATTCCTAGTGTGCAAAGCTGAAATTCTACCAATATGGGAGAGGCTTATCAAGCAGGACCAAGTTTAAGACAAGTCGAAGCAACTTGTGAAATACTGTAAAAATTAAAAACCTATAGGATATATAAAGATAAGTGGGAGACTATGTATATAATTACAAATATGTATATATTTATAAAAATTCCAAGCATGCCACAATAAAAAGCAATGATCTAGAAATTATATCATTAATCAAAATAGAAAAAATAAGAAATGTAGAAAATAGCTTACAAAGAAGAAGTATAATGAGTTATTCACTTCAAAATATTTATGATTATTAATGCATTATTGCAAAACACAATAAAAAAGAAAAAAAAATTACTAACTAATTGAATCTAAAAAAAGAAACTTCCAAGTCAGTACCAGCAGGGAGCATGAAAAGAAACCAAGCATGATCTGCTCCTAGAGGGCCTATTTATTTAAAGATGGATGATGCCTCTGCCTTTACATCTCATCCTTTTGCACAATTTTTAATCAATGTGATATAGTTTTAAATTATGAAATTTCTCATAATCATTTTGGACAAGCTTTTGTTGAGTGAGTAAATTATATCCTGATCCTTACCTTTTTAAATGGAAACAAAGATCTAGCCTCTCTCATATTAATATACATTAAATAATGTTTTACTTACATTTAATGTCCTCAATATACAACATAAAGTTAATACTCAAAATTGGTCATCTGCATTGAATAGACATTTCATTCTAAAACAGCCATTATCAAAAAAAAAAAAAATATATATATATATATATATATATATATATATATATATAAGATTTCACCTTATAAACATGGCAAGATACTATGCCTTTGATCACGTGGGGAAAAGCATAGACTGTTAAACATATGCCAACATGTTCTTTTTGACTCTACCTTAATGCATGAAATATAGCAATTATAAATGTACATCAGGGACTTGACAAGTTGATTCATAAGATTCATTTAACCCCGGAAGAGAAGAGTCCCTCCAAACAAGAGAATAATCATTCTCCTCAAAAGCGGAGAAACATTAAAAGAGGATCCCAAGATACTATAATTCCAGATACTTGGGGTATATAAAACCATTATTAACCTCAGCTCAAAAGGTGTTGGCTCAAATAAGTTAGAATGTACTATGGGGGAGGGGCAGGCAGAAAAAATCAAAGTGATAGAGTGCCAGGGATCCCAGCAGCCTGCAGCAGGGCCCGGAGA